GAAATATGGCTAAATCAGCTATTAACAAATTATTGACAGAAATCCTCTACGGCATCGAGAAACTGATTTACATCCGATTTATAGACAAACACCAAATAAAGAACATTTTGCTCAATAGCTACGCATCAGCAATGCATTCTATGCCAAACTTTGCGGTTCTTAAAGGGGAATCAAGACACGAGTCGAGCGCCAAACAACAACAAGCAGCCATGTTCGTGTCAAACATCCTTGAGAAACTTGCTCTTTCACCTCGTTCAGCGCATCAGTCTCCACTTTAAATCAACAGATCTTTACTTATTTTGTACAACGAAGGTTTTTCCTAAGTTCCTGCTACCATTTCAATCTCAAGCAAGCTTTCAAAGTGAACAATTTGGTTCCTATGACTATGCAGCACGGTCGCTGTCAGTGGTCGCGTGCTCTTTGACAAGTCAGCGGTCGCGCATGCTCATGCAAAAAAGACCCCTGTTGGCAAAGGCTTTTTAAAATAGTTTAATGGTGAAACGTTAATATGTTATTTTGTAATTTCTCATCGATATTTAACAGTTAGATGGAACAATTTAGAACTTAAAGCTTAAAACGAGGTATCGATCGGCTAAACAATCAACTCTTTCTTTCTTAATACAAGTTTTATAATTTACAACCCTAACAACTAGTGTAAAAAGCCGTCGAGAAATAATAAATGTAGATTGGGAAAAATGCATTCATTTGTTTCCTTCTTTGACAAAAAATGATTTGTTCCTGTTTAGCTTCCAATGCCACAAATGAAGCACTACACACGTGGGACTTACCATAGTGAACCAGTGTGCCAAGTGTTAGTATTGCGATGAAAATTTCCGTCATCATAGTAGAGGACATGGTTTTACCTTAGCTTAGCCTTTGAAGTTGTAGAGCTTGTAGTCTGCTGTTATCAACTAGTCCAGTAAATAAATTACATGCGGCATACCCTACTTAAATTCTAATTCTAATACAATAAATAAATCATAGGAAGTTTGGAATGGTTGCCAAATTGGTCCTTAACTCGACGCTAAAAAAAAGACAATTTATTTATTCATTTATTTATTTGCCGCTTCCCTATTTACACCAAGTTTTAAGGGAAAACAGCGAAGAGCCATCGAATGATTTCTCACGCTTTTTCACAGTCAGTCTTAAATTTAAAATAAAAATTATAAATATTATTTCTATATATTCTCTCCTGTGGCACCTGTATCTACTTTTGACGGAGTCAAATGACACACAACGATATTTACAATGCTCAGGATTTCATTTTTAGCTTACTTTTATTTGTTTCCACCATTTTATTCCCGTTTATTTCAGCAAGCAGTTTTTCATACCTTGTCCATTATGATATTCCTTAGAAAAGATCCCTTTAATTCCGTTGCGTGGTATATTCTTGTCTTCTTCCAAAAAAGCCTAGAATATTGTTTTACGGCTCCGTTGTTAATCATTTTAATGATTAAAATCATTAAATTTTCATGGCGATGGCTTCCCTCGCTTGCACCAAAAGACACAATGGTAAGTGCGTCTGCGGAAATTCCATTATAACAGGATTGCAATTGCAGCATTAGCTAAACCTTAAAGAATTTTATTTGACCTTTTTGTTATGTTGTCCAGTCTGTTGTGCTGCCCTTTGCTCGACTTGCCACTAAAACTCCCTTTCCCAGCCGAGAGAACCAGAAACTCCAGTCTTCAAATCCGCATAAATGAAACTCTAAACTGAAACTTAAAACCAACCCTTTTCATATGACTAAAAGCCCCATGCATGCATACGTTTACCTGTTAACATTGCCCCACCTCTGCCGCCGACACTTTCCGGGGTTAAAATAATTCAAATTCTAAAGCATGATGACGGTTTAGTTTTTGAAACATTAGGGCCATTTATACAAGGAAAAATAAGACGCGTCTTAAATAAGACGCGAACTGGACCATTTATACGAGCATGTCTTATCTAAGTTTTCTGTATACTTAAACTTACTTTTTAGTGTAAGTTTATAATACGAAGATAGCAATTTGACTAGTAAATAATTATAAATTGTGATAGTTTTAGAGTCACAAGGGTCTACTTACACCAGCAGATGTCACGCATTTTGTCCAGGCGGTCTGTTATCGCCTTTTCCTTACATAATAACAAAAAATCTTTTTCCTCCGCGATGGACCAAGTGTTTCTTTTTACCTTTAACGGCGTGCACGTTGTATTTGAGCGAAGAAAAGAATAAAGCAGAATAGACAAGGAAACGAAAAACGCGTTGTAATTTGTAAACAATTTTTCCCCGCCAGTGGCATGCCAGTCCACCGCGGGGCAAGCGGTAATTTTCCCGCCAAAAATTAACGCATGCATACTATGCGTTCGCGTCTTATGTAAGACGCCAAGGTCATTTATACGAAGTTTTTCTCTTCTTAGCTAAGACGCGTCTTATCTAAGAACAGGGGTTAAGGGCTGTTCTAAAATAAGACGCGTCTTAGCTAAGTTGCGTCTTATTTTAGACGAAATGTGCCGTTTATACGGAAAGTTCGCGTCTTATTTAAGACATATCTTATGGAAGACGCGTCTATGCCCTATTATGTCAAACATATTGCCATTATCGTCACTGTGGTCACCTGTTTTTGAATCCCACTTTGACCAAGTGATCTAAGCTTATTCCCGTACTGTAGACTACAGTACACTTAACATACGCTTGTGGTGATATATAACCCAGTTTTAAAGAGTTTTTTTGTCATGTAGGGAAATTTCAAGACGTTCTTTTCAATTACTGTACGCGTTATCTACATCATCCGGTCGTTTACTTTAATGAGAACAGTACAGTAAATGCACGGTGTATTTGTCATTACGACCGTCAGGTCATGAAATTTGAGCCTACCCCGTTAACACGGCCACCCTGTTAATGCGGCCAAAAGTTTTTGGCCCATTGGTGACCGTTTAAACGGGGTTCCACTGTAAAAAAAGCGTTTACGTTTCCGCTTACGCCTCGTTACGATCGTATGACTCTCCCTACCTCGATGCTGTCGCGCTTATGACTTCACTTAGCATATGCGCCGATCAATTCGAAACTTCAACATCTATTCCCGGGAATTTGAACTTTCTTTTAGCCAGGCCTGTTCAAATTTCCGTTACATTAGGGGAACTGGTCCATGTAGTTTCAACTGCCCTACCATCTTCAAATGCCCCGCACAAGGAAAAAAAATGCTTTGCAATTATATTGTAAATTTGAAAAAAAAAACAAAACAAAAAAAAAAACCTTTACATCTATTATGGTGTACAGGATAGCTTTATTTTCTGTGAGTGCTCTGAACGTCGGAAAGCAAGTCGAGTCATGCATAGCAGCTCTCAGAAGACAGACTTGTATCGTGTACTTCCGTGGTCTTTAAGATAATTATCGCGGCGAGTTCTAAGACGAAGCTCGCCGTTGTTGACAAACATAAATCAATATTTAATTTGTCCTTGGGAACTGTATTGAGATCGAAAGCAACAATAGTCATGCCTCCATTTTTATGGAACAACATGATATTGTTTTGCTACATTTTCTCAGAGTCTGCTTTCGCCAAATAGTCCCCGTAAAATTGACATGTCACAGGCATTTTAATTTTCTAAATTTCCAACGAGTGGCCGTATTGACGGGGTGAAATTATAGGGTATTCTACTAAATGGGATTTTAAAAATGTGGCCGTTGGCTGTATTAATGGGTGACCCCATTAACAGGGTTTTTTTTTTCTAATAAGGAAATTTATGGCCGTTTTGCCGGGCCGAAAAAACTGGCCGTAATAACAAGGTGACCGTATTATCTAGGTGGCCGTAAGGCGGGGTTCCACTGTACTAGGATCATAATGCCCTTCCTGACCACTTCGATGAGTTTTCGAAGTCGACTCTGTCGCCATAGAAAACTTGCCATTTGTCATTAAATATGTCAGTGTCTAAAAATAAAGTTGGGGATTCAGTAGCCTGCATGCGGAAACAGCCGTCTCTCCTCGCTCTTCGCCGCTAGGCAGCTAGAGAGTTTGGCCAGTTTCTTTCCCTTACTCAAGGCGAAACGTCCCTATCGGCGAGGAGTGAGGTCAGACACGGCTGTTTTCGCAGGCTAAGGAGTCAGTTCATCCTCATCTAGGGGAAGTTATCAAAAGGGGTTATGTACCCAAAGGCTGTCTACTGTACTGGCTCTTGTTTCCTTTTTTGGGGGGTTAGCGGAAATCTTGCCTACTGTGCATATTTTATTTTAGCGTTGAGCTGTCGACCAATTTTTTTGTGCCTTGTAGATGTTCAGGAAATGATACTCTGGAAGACACACGTTTATAGAATTCTTTTCTTTTTAATTAAACAACATTTTAGAAGAGAAGGTAGGGGTGGTGCGGGAGGAGGGCTAGGTCTTTCTGTAAATCCACCTGTTTTGCCGTAACTACTACAAGAGACAAACGACAACACTTCATTTTTATTTTACTTCACCAACTAAGGTAAATTGCTACAGCCTTACAGTACACAATTTATTTGTATCTACTGCGATGTAAATCACTTGTCTCAGGTTTTCACTGTTAACTAGTAAAACAACTAAAAATGCTGGCTGTCTTAGGTTTTCACTGTTAACTAGTAAAACAACTAAGAATGCTGGCTGAATGATATGATCAATTTTCTCCCTTTGTTAAATTCTATCTTCCGTTGTTTTGGGGTTTGGCAATGAACTTGAAACAAAGGAAAGTAAAATTTCTTCCAAGAATAAAACTGGATCACAAATGAATAATCCGGGCGCTTTTGCATGAACAGAATAGGTTCGTTGGGAGCACTGAGAAAGCGGTTGCAACACGTTCAACAGTCATCCAAAACATTTTTGGATGATGACCAATAATCCTTAAAAACAAAACAATAAAACGAAACAAAATAAACAAAAAAAGCAGCAATACATGCTGAAACTTTCTTTGTTCTCGGGGCCCGGGCCGCTCCCGATCTCGTTAGTTATGGTAACTGCTAGTGCTGAGTGTTCGTTTCAGTCCTTACAAATTACTATCAACCTGCTAAGTTATGGCTTTTCGCAAATGTATCCATGTCGTGTTGAGCATGAACGAAGATACCACTTGACGTAATAGTATGATGGCCATTTTATTATGCGCATGACTGTGCAAGGACTCCAATGAGTGAAGTTTCGCCGGTTATCTCTAAACCAGTTCTGGTATCCATCCCATATAGTTCCGTCAGCCCACTTCCAGACCGAATCATTGGCTGAGTAAGAAAGTCCAATCCAGTAATAACGGCTGGCACGCGAATATGCCGTTTCAAGTAAATACTTTTCTTCAGGAGAAGATTCAATCTTAACCAAATTGCCACCAATTTGTTTACATTCTTCTTGCGCGTTTTCCCAAGTCAATTCAGGTGACGTAAACAATTTATAACACGACGTTCCATTGCCATTCCACCCTTGTTGACAAGCTGAGTTAAAAAACATTATATAAAGGAATTTAACCAAAGACATTACATTAGTTAAAATAATCGATGTTACTAAAACGCAGAACCAGGAAAGGGTAATGAAATGGGAACGAAAAAGAGAATGGGTAATGAAGTCGCTAATAGGGCTAGGGGGCCAAGTTAGGTTTTGTTCCCATTCTTCATTTTCCCGTTCCCCTCGGCCGTTCCCCATTCCTCGTTCCTCCTTTTATTATCATTTTAAAATAACCAACTGAATTGACGTAAATGTTATACCAACACGCAGAACAATGGGTAACTAAAAGACTTGAGAATCAGTGCAACTTAGGCAAGGTTAAGACACCGAACTTTTCATCCCTGCGCCAAGCCTAATAATTATATAGATTGATAGTATACGAGAAGTTCGGCGTCTGCATCAATTCTATTTCAGTTTGGAACAGCTCGGCCGTTGTTCCATGCAGGCTAACCCCGCCTGGAATTCTGACTTTGGAGCGACGTTAGAACGGCTTTGATTCAGACGCCGAAATTTTCATGTGCTGAACCTAATGAACAAATTATCATCTATAACGGGACGAATACAGAACACGGACCACAACTGTGCACCTAGTGGACCCGACCCTTCGTGGACTGGGTCCTTGAACTACTTCTGTGGACCACTCCTAATATTATTTGTTTAAGTCAATTTTAGCAGAGGTCTAAACAAATGTTAGGAACCTTATAAATGGACGAAACTGTGGTAAGTTTTTATAAAAACAGGGACCTTACGAAACTACGATGGCGACAGCAAGGGCCACGTCAGAAAGCAGCAACAACAACTCTGCACGTGCATCACGCTTTTTGTACATTTCCTTTCCGTCCCTGGAAGGCGTCGACGTGAAATGACCCCCTATCACATATTTTAATAGAACAGGAGGAGTGATAGGGAGGAGGTAGTCTCCTACGCAGCTCTTTTCTTTTGTCTTCGCTTTGCGTGAAAATCGAAACAAAAACGGCCACGTACGAGAGCACGGAGAGAGCTATTATGTCTGTGAGTTTGTAACGACAACATTCTCGACTTGAATAAATGGCAACTGATTTACATGTCAGAACCAACGTAACCTGCAAGTGTAAGCAAACTTGCAATACGTCTGACCAATCGCATTGTTTGATAATCTGCACGTCATTTTGTGTTTGATTCGTCAACAGGATTCCGTAAGTTTGCCAACCAATAAATGCTCCATCCAAAGGATAGCAAGGGAAGGGAAGTCTGGGGTGGGTATTCAATCATCATGCACTACCTTTTCCTTTCTAGTCTCCTACGCAGCCGTTTTTGTGTCGATCTTCATGCAACTCGATGACACACTGAAAAAAGTTGTGTAAGTGAATACGTCCCTAGTTCTCCTCATGTCCTCATCAAGTAGTTTTTCCTTCCAGACTAAACCAAACTCAAGACATGTATGAAATTCCAAAAAATAAATGAATAAATAAATAAATTCAGGAGATAAATAAATAAATAAAAAAAATAAAAATGAGCATAACATGAAGAGCCTTCATAGCTGATAATACAAATTGAGAAAGTTTCGTCCATTTAAGGTTCCTTAAAAATTCATTTAGACCTCTGGTAAAAAATTATCTTCAAAAATTAGGGGTCGTCCACGTGAGTAGTCCATGGGCCAGGTTCACCAAGAGGTCGATGATTTAGGTCCAGAGAGGTGCTGGGGGTCCATCATTAGTGTTCAGGGCGGAAAAACGCAATGAGCATGCGTGAACTTTTTTGCCCAGATACCCTAGCCTGGTTTGAAAGAATTGCGGGATTTCAAATATATTTTTTGCGTAATAATAACACGTTTCCACTCATAACCTGGAAAGAAGAGGCAATTTGCCTTCAAAAGTTGCAAGCTGTAGTTATAACTTTCTCATTGCTTAATTTTCTCGAAGAATACCTCATAGTAATTCAAAGTGGACAGACTGCAAATTATAGTGGTTGCTAAAAAATATATACCTAGCTACGTGTCGCAACTTTTCATCAGTAGGATGCCTAAAATGCTTGCAATTCCACAATTGGTTTCGGCTCCATTAAATCCTATACCAATTGCAGAACATTTTAGGAGGAGCCACCCATCATGTGAGTCACGGACAACACATGTAAGTGAGGAAAATAACGCAAAGTAAAATTAAGACGTTAATTAAGGAACTAAATGTACACGTCAATTAAATAAATATATGGCTGTTACCTCATAAGTTGAGATTATATGAAGTACCTAAAAGAATTTTCTATGCTCTCACAAAGTGTCTACGTGCTTCGCTCTAGACACAAAAACAGATTAAGATATAGACAAGTCTAAGAAAAGGCACAGAAAATTACCTACCCTGTGGAGGTGGTTGAATTGTTGACGCTGGATAAGCTGTGGAAACTGCTGTTGGTATCACTGTGGCTTCTGATGACGATGCATCTGTTAATATGAGAATACTGACAATAAGATTGTTTCCAGTTGTTTGAGTATTATATTTCTTATTTCCTCATTGTTTTTCCCTCGCCCAGTTTGTAAGTGACTTGGTCAGAATTGCTATCGGTAAACTGGTTGTTGGTTAAAATAAATAAATAAACAAAAAAGAATCAGATGGTAGGAAGCGATTATGGTCAGCAAGTATGAGGTGTCTTGTTGGCTGAATGTTGATAAAATATTTTCTATTTCTTTGCGACTTTAATTTATAGACCAAGACGAAGTCAAGGTGAAAAGAAAAAGTAAGAGAAGAAAAGAAAACAAGGCCAACTATCTCCAGCCGCCATCTTGACCTCATGCATTGTAAATAGAGGATTTACTATATATGGCCCAAATGATGGGAACCTGTGTTTTTGGGACCGACGCTTGAAATACCAAGGGGCAGTTTCTTTCTCGCTCGGGTGGTCCATCAGAACACAGTATTTGCTTCATCTTGTCCGCTCTCGAATTTAGCCGTATAATAAGGTATAATAATCAAAACATTACTTCTCTAAACCGGTATCAGTGTATTCAATTTTCTCTACTGATGAGCTAATCCTAACCTAAGGAAAATACCTACCCGCCGATTGAGTAGCTGATGAAGATACTGTTGATGCATCTAGAGCCTTTGATACTGATGAAACTGTTGGTGGGTATTCTGAAACTGCTAACGGATTAATTTGCTGTTTGAAATTTAGTCAGTTCATACACTAGATTGTTTTTAGCTGTTTATCCCTAGTCAAACCCACGGGAGCTTTTGAGGATTTTTAGTTACCTTTAAATTTCTTTAAGTTGTTTAGGGCAAATTCAGCATTTTGTTGCGCATTAGCTCTTCAGGTCTTGAAACATTATATAACATAGTTTTTGGTCCTTTAAGAGCGTAAATTTGGGGTTTAGGTGTACTCCACTTTGTCCAATCAGAAGAAAGAAATTTTCATCGACACATTTAGTAATAATGTATCTCATTATTTAGTATCAAACGATCGCGGATCTTCAACAAGAAACAAAAAGGTCACAAAGGTCATCCAGTCCGTTAAAGTAGTTTCTGTTTATAGTGAAAATGTCTCTAATGAAGAAGTAGACAGTGACTTCCGTTGCTTTTAAAAAGTGCTTTTACAGGAAAAATCTTCCGATCAAATTTAAAAGGAGTGGCACATTTTACAATGATTAGGTCTATGATTAAAAACTATAGAAACAATAGGCAGACTTTTAATCCACAAACTGACAAAATTAAGAATTAAAAAAAAAGGAGGGGAGGGGGGAACCTTAGAGAAAAATATGACGCAAAATAAGTCTCTAATAAAATTCATATAAGTATAACTGACCCACCTCCACATCCTGTGTCAAGGATGCATTTATTTATTTCTGCGAGGACAAATTAAGAGAAAAAAATGCAAAAACTGATATAAAGCTTTAACAATTAAAACCGGTTTGAATAAGATCGGTTGTTCTAAAGCCCAAACGGTAGCATTTTAATATGTAAGTAGGCAGGCGTATGCAATAAATTTAAATGCCATTCATTTTCGGGTGCTTTCCCAGATGGCTTCAAGAATTTGAAGTCAAAAAGTTGCAAAAAAGGGATCCGCAGAGCATACTGGCCCACCAGCTGACAGTTGTCACGTCATTTTAGGGTGGAATTCAGGAAGGCACCTGCACCCTATGCCAAAAGTGCGAAAACCAAGAAAACAATGGAAGACAGAGCTTTCCAGGTAGCTGCTCCTTTCCTATGGAAAAAGCTGCCAAGGTCCGCGCGCGAAGCAACGAACTTAGAATCTTTTAAGACTTTAATTAAGACATTTTTATTTAAGGAATCATTTCGGTTATCTTAGTATATCTTTATCTATATATATTTGTAACTATCTTTCACTCATTCAAATGTAAATATTTTTAAGATTTTGATAGAAAGATTTGTAAAATTTAGTTATTAATTATTATTGTGATGCGCTTTTGAATATTTTATAGAAAAGGCGCAATACAAATAATAATAATAATAACAATAATAACAATAATAATAATAATAATAATAATAATAATAACAATTCAGTCAGTATTGGACCACCTTAAAAACCCTACCTATACGCTGGGGCCATATAATAATTCGCATAAAGCGATTAGTCCAAAATAACTACTCTAAAACCTGGCACATTGACCACTTTAAGTAAAGAGACCGAACCAGCCCGGATTGTGAGTCAAACAATGTGCTAACACAAGCTACTGACATACAAAACAACAAAGTCAACCTGATGAGTCATACCTTCGTCGCAGTTTTCTCCTTTAAAACCATCACGGCAAACACATTGGTAGCGTTTAGCTGTGAAGCCCACCTGACAGATGAAGTTCTCTCCAGGGCATGGGTTACGGTGACAAATGTTCTGTTGGAAAGAAATTTATTTTATCAGATCCTCCATATAAAATTATTAATTAGTTATTAAATAGTGATTAGTTCCCAGAGAATTTGCAAATGGCCCTCGTTTAGCGTTTAAAAGCTCTCTTTCCCATCAATTATTGTTTTAATCAAGAGAGAATGAGCTAAGCTTAGATCATTCTCTCTTGTTTTAATAGATTACGTCTAATTAAGTGAAATTGTTGCTAACCAAAAATGCTTTTCTTCCATGAATTACCATCAGTCTTAGTTGTATCCAGAATAATTTAAGCGAATTCCCGTTTCGCGAATAACATTTAAGACTGACAAGCATAATTGATAATCAGCAAAAATATCTGATACCTCAGCTGAATAGTGAATGTGGCCTGGCCTTTCCTCCAAGCCAGTTTGTAATGGATTTTCATCTGTTAAATCATTCAGCTCACAGATGCGCGGTCCTTGGTCGTCAGCAGGACCCACATTGATAGACACACAGTTGGGCTCCAAGAAACACTTCACACGGCAGCTCCCCTCATTTGGCACTTTTTCCGTCCTTATCACGTGACCTGGAAGTATTTTGTCCTCTACTGGCTCCTTGAATATTAAAACGCGATTGTATTCTCTCGCAATAACTGGAAACAAAAATGGGTAGAATTGGGCAGAGGTTTTATCATGAAATATCTATCCGCTGATCTTTCAAAGATGATTTCTTTAGTGCAACAATTTTACTTATAACGTTACAAACGACATATCAATCGGCTCTCAATTATGCGATGTGTAGTTTAACTGGCTATTCTAATTTCAACACAGCAAAGTCATCTCTATGCAAATACGAAATTCCCTTTGTCATTATACTTTGTTCTTTAGTGAGTTACCGTAAAATTCCGAAAATAAGCCCAGGGGCTTATATTTTTCAAAGGCCCTTTTTGAGGGGCCTATTTTTGGAGGGGCTTATGTATGGAGGGAAATTTGCGCCTCAAAATCGATTGGGCTAGCTTGTAATCGAGGACAAATTCCAAGTACAAGCTCCCCAGGGGGGCTTATATTTGGAGGGGCTTATAGATGGAGGGGCTTATTTTCGGAATTTTACGGTATTTTTTTGCAGGTGATACTATTGCTTGAAGCAGCATGTGTCCGTACTGATAGATATTGTTTGCCTTTGCAGAAGTTGCATTGTTTCTCGCCTCCATCTTGTCGGAATTGTAAATTTGAACTTTTTGTCTGCTTTCAGTGTACTTTAGAATTCTCAAACCTGCGGTCGGCAAACAGAAAAGGCTATACAGCGACTGACCCTACATTGAGCGGACACCCTTTCTTGAAGAGAGTGTAGATGAAATGGACAGTTTTAATTAGTTTCCATTTCATTGAAAACACTCTCTATTCTTAGTAAAATTAGGAAGTTGAGGATGGGCTACCGTTTTTGGAGGGGCGTAAGGGGAGTGGAGAGGGGTACGAATACCGCAAAACCGCACAGAAATACGTATAAACATGGCAAAAAATAACATAAGAAAACCGCAAACCGCATTGAAATTACCCGAAAATTCCTAAATACCGCAAACCGCTGGGTTTTGTAAAACCGCAATTTCGCAACTTAAATTTCCGCAAAACCGCATCACCGCAAACCCTTACGCTTCCTCCAAAATGCTTGTTCTCCTAATGGGATTTCACTTCAACTATACTTAAATGGAATTCGCTCGTTAATCCTTGTTTTGCGCAGATAAAGTTCCAAGAAGAGAATTATGTAGGTTTGATCATCTTTCACTTTCAGCTGTAAGATGACAAAACGGTAGCCCTTTACAAAAGAATAGTCATGTATATTAGCCCTCCAGGTTATCTCACGTTCATAATTTCCACCAATGATTCCTATTTCGCTATCTTAGCTTTTGCTTGAAATTTCCAACACACGCTTATACAAAACACACTGTTTCCGCCTATTTAGCCAAAAATTATTTATTCCTGTCTCAACCAACCTTAACTTTTTACAAATGAAGCACTAAACATGTCACATACCTGCAACATACCAAAACGTACCAATTCCAAATGTAAGCATCTCGATAAAAATTACTGTCCTCGTTGCAAAGGCCATTATAATTCTCTTTTTAACTTGAAGTTGTTTAAGGTGTATCAAACATGTTGTTATCGTCCACTAAAGAAAAGGTTGATTTAAATTATTCAGTAAGCTACATAAATTCCAGTTTCTGTCTAATAAATTAATCATAAGAAGTTATAATAACTACGACATTGGTCCTCTACATTTATACCAAAATTCGAGGGAAATTAACGAATGGTCATCAAATGATTTCATAATTTAGAGGTTGCACATGCGTCAGTTTCGTGCGTTCTCAGATTTAGATTTATTATATGTTATTTTCCCCTGTGAGCAGAGGTTTCTCTCTTGCATGGTTTTAGCGTTTACGAAGTCCTTCGCGTTGCTTATCCGTCGCGTAGTTGGTTTGTTTACTCCCCGTTAATTACGCGATCGACAGACAAGCCACACGAATGATTACGTATACGCTAAAAGCCAAGCAAGAGAGAAACCTCTACTCGTAGGGTAATTTTATTTCGACACTTGTTAAACAATTCCTTCAAGCACTCAAGGAGTCGATTAAAGAAATTAATACCAACCTTTTCTTCATGTTCTTCTATAAACTACAATGACTTCAGTTTATATTGCTTATAATTAAAATGAATTACATTATTTATACTACTACATGAGAAATTTCTGCAATTTGATTGGCTTAGAGCAGTGGTATTTCAACTTAATTTGAAATACCTACATGTGAAAATTACAAACCCTTTGCGGGTAGCACTATAAACAAATAATAGTGCGTAAATGCCACTCGTGATATTTCAAAATTGTCTCAAATTTCACTTGCCTAAAGGCTCGTGAGATTACGCAGTATAACAATTTCGAAATATCACTCGGAGTATTTATGCAAAATATCACTACAAATCATGCTATTACCTATACATATCACTCATTTATTACAACACATTCTTCCCAAAAAAGTCGAGCCTGTAAACTTTATTTTTGCGCAATATTCCAGTTCTTCTTTTTTTTCTGTAATATTTAGTATAACGTGACGTAGTACTCTTTCGTTCATGACAAATTGACATCATTAATCATTAACCTTTCGGGGGAGTGGCTTCCAACAAGCAAGAATGAATGGCCCGAACTTGGCTCAAAAGAAACAGTTTCTTTGCGGAATGGGGGAGGGAGGCAGTCCATTAAAAAAAAGGATTACGTATACAATGACGGCATCAGCTCTTCTTTACTTGAAATATTTATAAAAATGTTGTTAATCAACAGTCTTGTGTCATATTGTTCAATTTTGATGCTCTTTTCTAGAATAGAGCGTTTTCACCATGACGTCATCAACTCTATAATCGAGGTCTTCTGAATTTTTATATATACCAGTGGGGTGAAGTTGACCTAGAAATAAATCTTTTTAGTATATACTAAAACAGTGGATAGTGTTTTTCGCGCGCTCTGATTCGCTACTCAATTAGTGAATATCCTGAACTATTCACTGATTCACCTCCAGTTCCTCCGAGCGAGCGACGCCAAACTTGCGTAGGTTGTGAGCAAAATGCTTTCCCGGTTTGCTGCCGTAACAAACTAAGAAATTTCACAACTAATCAAGCAAACTATTTCCGAAATACACAAAGAAGATGACGAAGTTCGGTTTGGAAGTTTTAACAGGTAAAGCTTTGTCTTTTTGACTTGAATAGTTATCGATAAAACCGGTGAAAAAGTTGTTTGTTTACAAATGCAAATTAAGCTTAAGTCTTGCGTTACTTTATTTAGTTGACTTGTTCATAAATAAGCTTAAAACTAAATTTAATAATCTTTTTTACAGAATTATTTTAAATACAAACAGAATTCACAACTCCTTTTGAAGAAACTTCCCCGCAAGAGCTAAACAAATGCCTTCAAAAGTTTTATTTGTCGCTAAGAAAAAGCGACGACCGCCGCCGTTCGGTCAGCGCGCCAAAATTGTAATCGTTGGCAACAGCAAATGAGTTAAAAATCATCATTTTGTGCTCAATTATCTCACTGTTTTAGTATATACTAAAACAATTATTCACCTCAGTGTCGGTGGCTAGTATAGGATATTTACCTCGCCGCTTCGCGGCGTCGGTAAATATCCAATACTAGCCACCTCCACTTCGGTGAATAGTTGTTATTTAATATCGAAGTTTCCAGCCCCGTAGCGTCTTTCGTTTTGAAAATACAGCATTTTAATTTTCCGAATTTTCACATAGTGCGTGACACCACGATGGTATAAGCCTCTGCAAAGATGTCCGGTTAAAGAAAAGCTCTCTCCATATGTTACCTTTCCTTGTTCCCTATTTTCTTTCCCATTGAAACGACTAAAACCCAGGCTATTCGCCACTTTAGAAAAGAGAAGGGGTCTGGGCCTAGTGAACGTTCGCAACGACTTCTGGGACTGTTACTAAGAACAGGTAGAAAGAAAAAAGGAAGTTACATTTAAAATTATGTATGCCTTTAAGTTTTGTTGGTCTTGTCCCAGTGAGACTTTTGCTCTCCAGAATGGCGCTTTTGTACCATGTGAATGGCTAGTTGCAAAGGGCCAATAGCTGACCAGTGCGTCCCGGCCCATTAACGATCCCAGAAGCAATTGCGGGACGCATCTCGCCTCCGTTTCCTTTCTGTTTCTAACAGAATTTTTCTAGCATTATTCTTCACGTCCTAGTCATCTTCATTCAAAATCTTGTCAGAATTATTCATTCGAAATATTTTTAAGTTCTTAATAAGGTTACCTCCAGGTAGACTTTCTTCTTAACTTTGGCCTCTTTTTCGGCACAGTTTCAAGATATAAAAAGAGGTTTTATTCTTGCACATACTCCTCAAAAAGTAGATAACATCCATTGAGCAATATGTTTTGCGTAATCTTGCTTTCCTTCCGTTCAGTGTTTATCAAAAATTCAGTTATTTCGACTTCGGATAGCCGCGTGAACGCCATTTCTTTTTAGTTCACTCGTCCACGTTTCCAGGTCAATATACCATCGAATCGATACGACATCGCTCGCATCTTCCAAATGTGGTCAACGCTAATTGGTTATGAAAAATTAGCCGGGGGCTTTAAGCCAATCAAAAACGGAGAAATATTTTGAATGAATGACATTAATTATTGCGTGTTCTCTTAAAGGTTAGCTCGGAAGTAAATGGCCTGTGCTATTCACCTCCGAGCACAAAAAAATATGGCTTTCAAGATTTGCAACGATGATTTTTACAGCAACAATGCTGGAATAATGTCGCAACAATTTGAAGCAATGCCACACCAATGTTGCAGCGATCTGTTACACTGAAAATTACCCTTGCGATCGCCCTAAAATGTAAAGAAAATGGGAATAAAACTTTCCTTACATTTCCAGGTCATTGAGTCAGCTTGTGTAATCCTATAACGATTAAGCAATGTTTGCAGAAAGATTCTCAAATACAGTCAACTCTCTCGCCTTGCAGACACCACGAGAACATGCACGGACAGCTAAATCCCCGGCAAAAACAACTTATGAACTTTTGACTGAAATAAACTCTCGCTATTACGGATTCTCGCTTATGAGGTTACTAACTCGAGGTCCCTACAGTGTCCGCAATAAAGGGAGATAACTGT